GAGGGGGAAAGAGCCAGCCTGGGCCGGGAAGGCGGCTTGAGACGGAGCCAGAGCTCGAAGCTGGTGCTCCATGAGCAGCTCCATGATGGGGAGAAGCCCCACACGTGCGTGGAGTGTGGGAAGAGCTTCAGATGGAACTCCGACCTGATCAGGCACCAGAGGATCCACACTGGGGAACGGCCCTATGAGTGTGGGGATTGTGGGAAGAGCTTCAGCGTGAGCTCCAGCCTGGTCCAGCACCAGAGGACCCACACTGGGGAGAGGCCCTATGAGTGTTCCAAGTGTGGGAAGAGGTTCAAGACCAGCTCCATTCTCCTCCAGCACTATCGGATTCGCAGGGAGGAGAGGCCCTTCCAATGCCCCGACTGTGGGAAGGGATTCAAGCACAACTCCGCCCTCATCACCCACCAGCGCATCCACACCGGGGAGAGGCCCTACGAGTGTGATAAATGCAGGAAGAGGTTTCAGAACAGCTCCTATCTCCTCCTGCACTATCGGATTCACACAGAGGAGAGGCCCTTCCGCTGTCCCGACTGCGGGAAGGGATTCAAGCACAATTCCGCCCTCGTCACCCACCGGCGCATCCACACTGGGGAGAGGCCCTACGAGTGTCCCCAGTGTGGGAAGAGCTTCTCACAGAGCTCTCACTTGACCCGACACCAACGGAGGCACCGGTAAAGGAAGCCCTGTGAGGGCCCTGAGTGCGGGCAGAGCTTCGTGCGCTGCTCCAGCTCCATCCCCCACTGGAGGAGGGCACAGCCCTGGTCACTCACGTTCCCTGTGATCCATGTTGAGAACACACCTGGCTGCTTCACCTTTTGGGTTGGCCCTAATTTTCCTCTGCTTCACCTTCGTCCTTTAAAAACACCCAAAACTGGATTAAATGAAGGAAATTGATCGAATATATCTGCAGTTCCCTAATTTCTCAGTTGTTTTAGAGGGAGTTTGGGTTTTGGGGATGCGTTCTGTGTGGAGTGCTGCTGTTGCTAAGAGGCAGGAATTTGATCTCACCCTTCTTGTATTGCTAAGAACTCCTCCCCTGACCCAAACCCCAATTCCACCCTTGGGATATCCTATAAAAACTCCACGGCCCTGCCTTTGCCCTGTCTATGGGGCATAAGAAATGGATTCCCAAAGGATCAGCCCTTTTCCCACTGGATTCCAAAGGGTCACCCTCATTCTCCACTGGGTTTCTAGAGGATCAAGCTTTTCCCGCTTGATTCCCAAAGGATCAACCTTTTTTCCACTGGACTCCCAGATTGTCCACCTTTTCCCGCTGGATTCCCTGAGGATAAATATTTCCCCACTGGATTCCCAGAGGATCAACCTATTTCACTGGATTCCTAGAGGATTCTGACTGTGTCACTGATTTTTTTTGTTTGTACTACTGCATTTGTATTTTTAATTTTTTGTAATAAAGAACTGTTATTTCTACTCCCACATCTTTGCCTGAGAACCCCTTAATTTCAAAAATTAATTAATATAATAATAATCATAATCATCATCATTATCATCATCATCATCAAAGAGAGGGGGTTTCCATTTTCCATTTCAGTGGAGGCTCCTGAAATGGGGAGACACCCCCACGGACGGGCGCTGTAAAATAGTTCCTGAAATATGTAGATTAGTTTATGGATATGCATGAGGGCCTATGAATATGCAATAGGCTGATGTAATTAAAACCAGATTAATTAAGGGATGTCCCCGAAAATAACTGGGGGGTCTTGGTGGCCATAACAACGTTTGCTTTACGGTCCTTTTCTCCCATTACATCAGGCTGTTGCATATTAATAGGCTTTTCACGTATCTATAAACTACTTTACATATTCCATGAACAAAATTGGCTTCATCTGGTTTGGGGGTCCCATCCCCCTCCGAGGTAAATTTGGGATGTCCCATTCCCCTCCCACCTCAATTTGGGGGTCCCATTCCCTTCCCAGCTTAATTTTGGGGTCCCGACCCTCTTTTCCCTGCTCCCTCCTTTCCCATCGTTCCCCCAATCCCCTCCCCCTTGTTTGGTTTTGGGTGCTCCAGGCCCCTCCTGCTCCGTTTTGGGGTCCCGACTCCATTTTGGATTAATTTGGGGTCCTCAGCCCATCCCCAGGGTCACCTTCCCCCCCTCCCCAAATTCCGCTCCTGGCAACTGATGAGTCATCAGCGAGACACGCTCTGATTGGCTGGAAATTACCCTGCGTGGTCTCTGAGTATTTACCGCAGTGAGAGGCCTTGGTCTGTGGCTGGCAAGTGATGAGTCAGAGTCGGGCCGGGCGCTGATTGGCTGAAAATCGCTGAGCGGGGCCAGTGCTCTGAGTTTGTGCCCAGCAAGTGGATCGTCATCAGTGCCGCGCGTTGGGATTGGTCGGGATCTTTTTTATGGTGGGGACCGGAGGAACTGGGGTTTCTTGGGGTTTATTTGGGTTTATTTAGGGTTTGTTTGGGGTTATTTATGGACTCTTTGGGGTTTTTCTTGGGTTTTACTTCGTTTATTTCTGTTTATTTGGGGTTATTTGGAATTATTTGTGTTTTTTTGGACGTATTTGGGTTTGTTTGTGTTTATTTGGGCTTATTTGGAATTATTTGGGGTTCTTGGGAGTTATGTTGGTGTGTGTGGGATTTTTTTCGGTGCACTTGAAATCATTTGGGGGTCTTTGAGTTTAATTTGGGTTTTTTTGTTTGTTTTTTTTTTTGGGTTATTTGGATTTGTCTGGGGTTATTTGGGACATTTTCAGGTATTTGGGGTTTTTTGGGTGTTCTTTGGGGTTTATTTCGAGTGTTTTGGGGTTAATTAGGTTTTTTGGGGTCATGTGGGGTCAAAAAACCCGGGAATGTTTCTCCTGCAAAAATCCGGGAATTTTTCCTTAAAAATCTGAGAGTTTTTCCCCAAAAAACCGGGAAAGTCCTTTAAAAAATCCCAGACTTTTCCCAACCAATAGCAGCGCGCCCCACCCCAAACCATCCAATCATCACGCTTCATGTCTCAAACTGACGAATCATGGCGCACCCCACCCCAAACCAACCAATCACCGCGGGTATTCCCTCAGGAACACCGGCCTTCCCGTGCGCGGATCCAACCAATCACTACATGCCTCCCCGCCGCCCGCCTCTCGCGCGCCGAATTAACCAATCACCGCAGGTCTCCCCTCAGCTACTCCCGCCTCTCTCGAGCTGAACCAACCAATCACCGCGCGCCTCCCCTCGGCAAAGCCCGCCTCCTTCGCCCCTCTCCTGTCAATCACCGCGTCCTCTATCAAACCAACCACTCACCGGGCGTCTCCCCTCAGCAACTCCCGTCCTCCCCGCGCGTCTCCAACCAATCGGAGCCGAGCCCAAAGCAGCGCCCCCTGACCACGGGCCGGGCATGGAGCGGGCGCCCCCTATTCCCCTCCCCCCGGGACCCCCTCAGGGACCCCCGGGAGCCGCCCCGGGCTCGGGCGGGTCCTGCGGGAGGCGCTGGAGAGAGCGGGGGAGGCGCTGGGAGAGGACGGGGAGCTCCGGGAGCTGCTGAGGATGCGCAGGGACAGGTGAGGGGCCCTGGAGGGGTCGTGAGGGGAATTTAGGGAGGGGTCTTGAGGATTCTTGGGGGGGATTTGGGGAGGGTCTGGGGGGAACTTGAGGGGGTTTTAGCGGGGTCTGGGGGGACTTTGGGGGGGAATTTGGGGAGGGGTCCTCGGGGGGTGTCACGATCCGTCCTCACGGACGGGTTTCATGGTGGTTCGTCGATTTGATCTCAGGGTGCAAAAAGAACCGACACGGTACAAGGGGGTTTGCAATGATAATCGAAACAAATGCACCTTTATTGAATGACCACAGCAAAATGCGATAGAGGGATTAAGGGAGAGAAAAAGACAGAGGAAGAGAGGGAATAGGGCTGCCAAACGTAGAGACAAAGTCCTTTGGTCCAGTCCAGTTGAGGATCCGCCTGTTACGTCGGGGAGATCTCAAAGTCTCTCGCTAACTCAGAGGTTTTTATTATGATAACTCTATTGGAAATTGCGAGGATGGGGAAACAGATACAATAAGGAATAGATGTAACAGGTAGTCCATGCTCTCAGCAGTAACCGAGAGCCATTGTCTTCTTGGTCCAGCGGTCACAACCTGCAGGCAAACCTCTCGGGGCGGTCTTTTCTTAGTGGTCCCCAAATGACGATCCTGAGGCAGATGAGGGAAAATTCGGAACCGACTCTCTCACAAATATAAAATTATTTTTTAAATTATATAAATTTAAGTTATATTATGGTTTCATAAATTAAAATAACATTTTATTAAAATTAAAAAGTATTAGTTATTTTAAATTAATTAGATATTCCTAACAAGGGTTGAGCTCTCCCTCCCTGCTCAGTGCAGGATGTGGGGAGGGGGCGATGCTGACGGGGCTGGGGGGGCTGCAGTTCTGGGGGGGTGGAAAAACGGCAAGGTTCTGGTGCTGCTGCTCTTCTTCCTCCTCTTCTTCTTCTTTCCAGTTCCTCCTTCCCCCGCCTCCTCCTCATTTCTTATCCTGCCTCCTTCTCCTCCTCTCTCCGGCGTTTCTCCTTCCTCTTCCTCTTCCTCTTCCTCTTCCTCTTCCTCTTCCTCCTCCTCCTCCTCCTCCTCCTCCACCTCCTCCTCCCGCTCCCCCCGGGCCCAGCCCCCACCCTTTGTCCCCCTCCCTTTGCCCAAATCCGTCCCATCGCCCCCCCCCAAACCCCTCCCCATCGCCCCCCAATAAACGGCCCCGGGCCCAACTGGGAAGCTTTATTGGGAGCACTGGGAGCAGGCACTGGACGGGGGCAGAGCGCCAGCGGGGCTGGGGGGGACACGGGACCCCCCCAAAATCAGCGGAGCGGGGACGGAGCGGGCGATCCCGGCCGGGCCCGAGCCCACGGGGAGGGGCTGCGGCCGCCGCCGGCTCAGGAGCTCTGTGGGCACAGAAAAGGGGGTGACACCGGGCTGGGGGCCCCGGCGGGAGCGCACACGCTCCGCCACGGGGGGACGCCACCCCCGGCACCCGCCCTGACCTTCTTGCGCAGGGAGAAGCCGAGCCCCAGCGCCACGAAGACCAAGCCCAAGACGAAGCCCCCGATGCCCGTCAGCATCTTGCTGCGGGCGGCGTCCGGCGGCATCACTGGGGGGTCCGCAGGGCTCAGCACCCCCAAAACCCCTCACCGACACCCCGAGCCCCTCCCAGCGCCCTCCCTGTGGCCCCCAGCCCAGCCAGGACCCCCTGAAACCTCCCTCAGATCCCTTTTTGTCCTGCCCAGGAGCCACCAAAGCCCCTCCCGTCCTTCTCAGCATCCCACAGCCCCCTCCCAGTTGCCCCCAGCGCCCCAGGACCCCCAAAGCCTCTCGCAGTCCCTTGGCAGCCCCAGCAGGACTCAGCCAGAGCCCTCCCAGGCTGTGCCCAGCACAACCGAGCTCATGGCGAGCCCTGCTTTGCCATCGCCGATCTCCTTCCATCCTCTCCGGGCTCACTGCGATCCCTCCCAGTCACACCCAGCACCCCAAACTCCCTCCCAGTGCCCACCAGGACCCCCCCAAGCCCTTCCCACCCTCCCCAGCATCCCCCAAACCCCTGCCCAGCCCTTGCCCAGCCCCTCTCCCAGTTCCAGCCCGGCTCTCTCCAGCTCCCTCCCAGTAGCTCCCAGCACAGCCCAGTGGCTCTGCCAGCGCCCCCAGGGGCTCCCCCGTACCCCAGTGCCGCCTCAGGGGCTGCTCCAGGCTGACGTGCTCCACCTGGCAGCTGTAGCTGAGCCTGCGCCGGGGCGGCGTTTCCAGCAGCACCAGCAGCTGGTGGGTCCAGTCGCCGTTGGGGACCACGTCGGTGGCCACCACGTGCTCCGAGAGCTCCTGCTGGCCCTGGAACCACCTCACCTGGATGGCAGCAGGGTAGAAATCCATCACGGAGCAGAGCAGGCGGCCGGGGCCGGGCTGGGAGCTCGAGGAGGGCACCAGCGAGATGGACACGCTGGGGGGCACTGGGAGAGACAGAGAGCGAGAACACACTGGGATCAGCTGGGGGGCACTGGGAGAGAGAGGGGAGGGCTGGGATGGGCTGGAAGGGAACTGGGAATAGAGTGGGAGGGACTCGGAATGGACTGGGAGGGCCTGGGGGCGACTGGAAGGAACTGGGAATAGACTGGGAATTGACTTGGGGAGCATGGATGAGACTGGGAAGGACTGGGAGGGGCTGTGGTGGCACTGGGAGGAACTGGGAATGAAGGGCGCGGCACTGAGCGGCCGCGTCCAGCGCGGGGCACTCGGCGCTGGGGATCTACCAAGGAACAGATGAGTCATCAGCGGTGCGCGATCTCATTGGCTGGGAAGCGTCAGCTTAATGCGTCGCTGAAATGGACGCGGGAGGGAGCACTGGGAGGCACTGGGAGGGAATGGGGGGAACAGGAGGCCCCGGGGATGGGCACAAGGAGGGCTGAGGGCTCCGGGGCGATTCTTGGGAAGGTTTCGAGGGGCTCCAGGGTCATTGGGAGGGCAGGACCCGAGGGGACACGCTCTGCCCCGCGCTCACCTCGGCGCTCCACAGTGATCGGGGCAGCAATCTCGTAGTTGTGCCGGCACCTGTCCACGTGAGCCCGCATGAACTCCATTATAGCCGTGTCGCTGTTCTACTTCTTGGCATTCTTCTCCCCTAAGGGGGTGAACCCCACAAAGTGCCCAACGTCGCTGTCGAACGTCAGGAACTGCTCCCGGTTGTAGATGAACCTCACCACCAACCTCACCTTCTCAGTGCCGTTAATGAAGAGACAATCGGCCTTATGCATCCACTGGAACACCCCTGTGAGTGCAGCACACAGCTCAGGGATGTGCCCCCCTCAGCACCCCCAAGCAGCACCCCCAGAGCTCCGGGAGCCACCCCGGATCCCCACTCCGCACCCCCTGTGCCCCACGGCCGCCACGGGACGCTCCTGCCCGCGCTGCCGCTTCCTGTTTGCCGCCCTTCCCCCATTTCCCCTTCCACATACTCTCCCACATCCAGCCACTCCCAAATCACTTTTGTAGCCCCATTTCCCCACAAATCCCCCAATCTCCGGCCCCCTCGGGCTCAGTTTTGGGGTCATCCCCTCCCCTTTTCCCCCATTCTTCACCCTCTCCCACCCCTCCCTCCCCTCCCCCCACCCCTCAGCCCCTCCCGCTCTCCCTTTGGGGGGTCCCCTCCTCCTCCCCCTCCATTCCGGCCTCCCCACTTCGCCCCCTTTTCCCCCTTCTCCCCCCCTGTCCCAGCGCCTCCCGCCCCCCGCTCACCCGAGAGCTCCGCGCCCGCAGCCGGGGGGGCTCCCAGCACCACCAGTGCCACCAGCAGGGCCCCAGCTGCCGCCCCTCGCCCCATGGCCGGGGCCGGGCAGGGAGCAGCAGCCCCAAAGCAGCCGCGCTGCGCTGGGAGCGCCAGTCCGCAGCAGGGCGGGCTCGGCAGCGCCGCGCGCTCTCATTGGCTGCCGCCGCTTCTGGGCAGCGACCGGCCACGGGCTCTGCCCGGCAACCGATGAGGCAATCCAACGCCCCGAGCTCTCATTGGCTAAGCTGCCTCCTGCCTGCGCTGCCATTGGCTGAGGCCTTTCCGGGACGCTGCAGCCCCGGGCTGGGGGATTTTTGGGGAGGGGGAACCTTGGGGCGCTGGGCAGGTGGGAGCTCAGGTGAGCCCAGCAATGCGTGCCCAGGTGCGCGGCATCTCAGGGGTGCCCGTGGCCAGCGGTGACGCTGGCCCGATGCCAGGCACCCCCAGAGCCGCTCTGTCCCTGCCCCCCGCAGCCGCACAGGGACAGAAAATGGAACAGAGGGTTCCTGCGTGGGGACAAGGATCGGGAGAGATTCCTCAGCAAATCCCGCACGGGCACAACAGATCCGGCCTGGACACACGGAGGGAATTTATTATCAACCAAATCACAGCAGCACAAGGAGAAGGGAAAGAAATCTCTCCAACACCTTCCCCCTGCCCAACACGGATCAGCCAGAACAGGGGTCACCAGGGCTCTGCCCAACAGGAGTCACTGAGGATCGTCCAGCGCGGATCCTCCCATGGGGAATGGAGCTGGAGCAGCACACGAAGCTCTTCCCACACTCAGGACACTCGCAGGGCCTCTCCCTGGCGTGGAAGTGCTGGTGAGTGACGATCTCTGAATCCCACCTGAAGCTCTTCTGACATTCCAAACACTCCTAGGGCCGTTCTCCAGTGTGGATCTTGTGGTGCTTGCAGAGGTCATTGGTCCCACTGAAGCGCTTCCCACATTCCTCACACTCACAGAGCCTCTCCCCAGTGTGGATGTTCAGGTGTTCCATCAGGGTGGAGCTGGAGCTGAAACCCTTCCCACATTCCAAGCACTTGTGGGGCTTCTCCCTGCCATGAGGCTTCTCCACCAGCTCTGAGCCCTGGCTGCATCTCCGGCCACCTTCCTGGCTCAGGGCGGCTCTTTCCTCCTCACACCTCCCTGGGCTGGGTTTGCAGCCCTTCCTTGTGAGGGATCTCTGGGGCTTTTCCTCCTCCTCCATCTGGCCACAGCTTGGGAATGACAAACCCTGGTTTGGGGGAAACCAAGGTGGGAGTGCCTTGGAGTAGAGGCTCCTCCTGGCCAGGTCCATCTCTGGAACTCAGCAGGAGTCTTGTGTCGATGAAAAGCTCCACATATCAAGATTCAGCCCAAAAAAAACTCTCCCAGGAGTTCCCTATTGCAGATCTCTTCACTTTTGGGGTTCCAGAGGTTTCCTTTCCTTGGGATCACAGGGGTCCAATGGTTCCAGGGGTTCTTCATTCTCCGGCGTCCTGCTTAGGGATGATCCAGGGACTTTTGGGGGTCCATGGGGTCCCTTCTACCCTGATGCTCTGCTTTGACATCCCAGGGATCCCAGGGGTCCCTCCTCTCCAGGCTCCCCCCCTTTCCAGTCTGCCGGGGTCCCCCTGCTCTGGGATCGCCCCTCTCTGCTCTCCCCACTCTGGGGGTCCCAGGGGTTCCCCTCCTCTTCTCTCCCGGGGGTCCCCAGGACCAATGTCCTCCCCTGCCCATACTGGGCAATGGAATGTGGGCCCCCAAAGATCCCCCAAGGGGCTCAGCTTTGGGCTCCTGCAAGATCCAAACCTACAAACACAGAGAAAAAAACTTCCCAGGGACACCAGATGAAACTTGGGGTCAATTCCACAATTTGTGAGCTCCAAACACAGCCCAATAAAAAACCCTCTCAGGGACCCCCTGGATGGATTTGGGACGAGCTCCCCCTCCCCGCTCACCTGCAGGACGAGCTGGGGGCGATGGTCCCGCGGCTGCGGCCACAGGGGGCACTGGAACCTCCTGTTCCTCCTGTTCCTGCTCCTGCTCCTCCTCTTCCTGCTCCTCCTTTTCCTCTCTCCCTCCTCCTCCTCCTCCTTCCTAATCCCACCTCCTCCCCAGTTCTGCCTTCTGTGTATTTACAGTGGGGAACCTTGCTTGCATTTAGAACCAGAACAAAGATCCCAGACGGAACAAGGCTTGCTGCTTTTAGTCAGAAGTATCAGTGACTAAAGGTCACGTTTCCTTTGGTTTGGTGCCGTCCTTGTTCCTCCTCAGTGTTCAGGCTGGGCTATGGGGTGTCCTTGTTTGCTGCATTTTCCGAGTTCCTCTTGCACTCTTTGGGCCATAGGCTGTGCCCTGGGAGGGTTCTTTGTGCTCCTTTGTGACACAGGAGAACCTTCCAGGCGGTTTCTGCGTGAGCTGCTGCTGGGATGTCACAGGAACAGCGCCACGTCCCCGTGGTGTTCCCGTTGCTGTGGGACACAGAGGCCTCAGTGCCCAGAGTGGCTCTGGGCTCGTTGCTGGAGGATCCTCCTGCCCGAGGCATTCTCAGCAGCCAGCCCAGAAGGTGTCCTTCTGTGCTTGCAGGTGTTATGTTTGCCCAATTATCCCATCATAAAAAAACCCCAAACAATATTTAAGGTAGCAGCAATTTTAATTAAATAGTTTAGAAAATATATAAATCAGGGATAATTTAGTTCAAATAATAGCGCATAAGCTAAAACAACCATGGGGTACGGGGGGCAGGGTTCAATTACCCTTGCCACTTCACGTACAAGCTTGCCAAGTGAAAGTCACCCCTTATATGCCATGCGTCAATGCCATCTCCTCCTATTTTCTGTTCGTCACTTTTCTGTCCTCCGCCCTCCTCACCACCTTTACCACGCATGCGCCACCACTCGGTTCGGTGGTCGCACAGGTCTTTGGGGGTCGTCACTGATGAAGGCCCTATAGTCTTCTTCATTGTCCTTTAATTCACCTTTGGGTTACACATGCGCACCAAGCCAGTACAATATAAGCCAAGACTAACGTATCACTGCATCTACATATCAAGGCAAAAAATCCCTTATAATTAGCATTTTCTGGGACTGACCGAGGTTCTTGGTCATTTTTAGCAACTATATCTTCAGGTTCTTTCCTGTGGTCCTTGAAAAACATCTGCTGGGAAGGGGGGGGTGGAGCCTCTCCTCTCCCTCTCCTCCTTGGCATTACAACTTTTAACCATTAACTATTTTATTATTCTCAAATATTAATTACTGTATCAATATTGATTACTGTTTCAATTTTCAATTCAAACAGCACGAATCATACCTATTTATCACAAATCCCCCATTTCTCTTTTTGATCATTATTATTTGTGCTGTATTTAAAAAGCTGTGCCCTGATATCTTTTATATTTTTCAGAATTTTTGTTTCCTCGTTGTCTCTTTTCATCTTCAAATTTTCCCAGCATTTCTATTACTGCTTCTAGTCTTTCACACTCTCTTTAAAGTTTAGTTAGCATTTCCTGGTCTATTTCAATCTTTTTAGGTCCTTGTTTTTTAACAGGGGTCGATTTAGCTTTTAATACCATTATAGATCTTGATTTTCCTTTTTCTGCTGATTCTGAATCTAGAGACGTTGTAATCTGCATCTTTTGAATCACTGATTCAAAAGATTAGCCTAATAATTACAAAATCATACAAGGCAGAAACAGAAGTCCCAGAATTGAGCATAACAACATGAACTCTAACTTTTTTCTCCAAACACTTCCAAAGAGGTTACCCCACCAATCTGCTTTCAAGATTGAATTCCACTTTTGTAGTGGCACATGAGCCACTCTTTTAATTTCCTCTGTAAGTTTTGTGATAGCTTCCCCATAATCATTAATTTCTACACAGCACTTAAATTCATTAAATCTTCCACAAGCTCCTCCTTCTTTTGCTAACAGATAGTCTAGGGCGATCCTGTTTTGGTACACAAACGCCCGCATTTGTGTATGTTGCCTGCCTAACATTTTTAAAGCATCAGAGGTGTGATTTGACACCACTTCCACTAGTGCTTGGAGCCTTATTAATTTATTCAACAGGTAAATTGGGGTCCTATATCCCCATGACCCATCCTGAGCCCATATTGCTGGGCCATAATATGCTATAATTTGTTCTGCAGGCCATTCGTCCTCCTCCCATTTTTGATTCCCTCCTGCTGTTGGAAAATTTAAATTCAAATCTCCTTTATTCCACTGCAGGGTTTCATACAGTGGAGTTCCTAGCACATTGCTCCTAGACCTCAGTAGAACAAAGAAGGAGGGTTGTATTATTC